AGTTTGTGAAACTCTGCAGGAGCTTTAAATTCTGAGGAAATTTCTTTGCAAAGTAGTTTCCTGCATCTTTTAACAAGCCTGGCTGCACAGTGTGATCAACACCTGGCTAATGGTCTAATTTTTAAAATTAATGACCTTGTCATCGATGGGAAGGATGAAGAGAAAACTGCAAAACATTACTGAGGAAGGGCAATGAAGGAGCCCTCCCACGACTTTTCAAGGTGATTTTGTCTTGGTCAACACACTAGCAGCAATACTCATAGTCCTTAACCAAGTTTTCCTGGTGTCAAGCACCTCCAGTGTCAGATGGAGCTTCAGACAATACTTCAGCACGTGCACTCAAGACACATGGGGACTAACACACACGCTTCAGTGATGTGTGCTCCACAAAGGATCCTAAGTAATAGCAAAAGAGCACCTCCATGCCATACTACTGGGGAAGAGAAAAAGTTCCAAGAGATGTTATTTGGAATTAAAAGATTGTCTTTTTCTCCAAAAACTAGGTCAAGGACAATCTGATCTAAATTGCTGTACACAGAAAAAGCAGTGGATGAAACTGGCTCACAACTTCATGCTACCAGCAAAGGCACTGGCTCATCTTCATGGATGGAGCAGGGTGATTTTAAAGATAATTCAAGCTCACACTGAGCTCCGGAGTGGAAATCTAAAACCAACCGCCTCCAAAGGCCAGATGTGTTTAAATTCCAAGGTTGTGATTTTGAGTCTCGCTCTTCTCAGGTTGTGGAAATGTCAAGATCAAACTGAAACAGCTCCAGGATTTTCGTAGACAGAGGACAAAGAAGCATCCTGCATGTTCTACACGTTATACTCAAGAGAACCCCCCTCCAAAAATGGAAGAGCTGACCTGCAAGCCCCACCTCAGGCACTACAACAAGCCCACAGATCTGGGCGCAGCCTCCATGCAGATTTTTTAAAAAAAATCTCTACTTGGGGGGACCCAATCTCTGAGCCATGGCCAGCCCTCAAGCACATCCACTCCTCTAGCAAATGTGGTCATCCAACATGGGGCAGGAGGGCAATACAGCTCAGAGCCAACCTCGGGCAAAGCAAACATCAATCTCGTCTGGAAGCAAAGGAGAGCTTCCAGTTAAAAGTTTGTGGGTTTCCCCAGGCCACAAAGAACACAACACAGATTCTGACAGGCAGAAATTCAGCTGCATCTTCCTATCCTTCTTCTGTAACAAGATCTCCAGTGTCATCTTAGCTTTGAGGGACTCAGCTCCGTTCTATGCAGCAGCTGAAGTTTAGCTCAGGGCTACTTACTCCCAGAAGTGTCTCTCTGGCTTTTGCCTCACGCAGCTCTGTCCAAAACACTTCTTGCAGGCTATGTTTGTCTGCCAAAGGCATTCAATCCATCCTGAAATGGCAGTGCCTTTCCTACTCATCTGGTGGCCCAAATCCACCACCACATCATTGACATTTCTAGCGTCAGAGCTTTCCCGGTTTGAGTTTTGCTTGCTCTTAGGAAGACGTCTTAAACCGAGCTCTCTGTGACCTGATGCTGTTTTCTCCAAAGTACTTTGTCTCTGGTCTTTGGTTTGGTAATGACCCAAGCTCACTGCACGACAGCAGGAACTGTCGGGGGAAGCAAGTGAAGAGCAATTTTCTGCCTGTTCTCGCAACTCTGCCTCTCCAACATGGAAATGCTGCCACTTCTCTGCTCTCCATCCAATTCTCAACGGTGCAGCTGATAAAGACATTTAAAGGCATGAAAGGAAATGAAAGCTCTCTGTCCCACTGGAAACCACCAGGAGCTGGGTATCAAACCTTCATTTCTACTTTTGGAAGTCTTTCTCCAGGGCTTTAGTGCAGCAGTGAACAACCAATGTGCAATCTATTCACTGTTCTTCCCTGCTTACTTCACAGCTTGAAGAGAGGCAATAAAACTAGGGACTTCAGCTCAGCCGGTTTTGCCTGATTTGCCAATTTTTGTTGCCGTTCTGTGTTCCAGCACCAGGACTTCTGCAGATTTTACTTTTATTTTTATTTCTATTGTCAGCATCCCAGCAAATACATGAGAGCGGAGTGCTGCCCTACTGGACATCAGCATCAGTGCTGTCTGATGGCAGAGCTCCCACGTAAACCCTCACATCTGGACACTCTAGGAATAAGCGTTTTAAAAACCATCTATAAGGCAAAAGGGATTCCTTATATCTGATGATGTTCTTGTAGGCAACGGTTATTTTTTCTTTAATCTTTTCATTTCAGTAGTATATGGCCTTTTTGCAGGGCCTGGGAACCTGTAAGAACATTTTGTCCAACAGTGCAAAGTAGAAGGTGGGGACAGAAGGCATGCTTTCTACTCTGAGACCTGCCCTGTGTTTCTATGCTATTCTTAGAGAGTTTCTCTGGCCAAATTACTCAATTTACAAGTTGCTATCTGGCTTACCCAGGTTGCACAGCTTCTGAGGCTGAGACTGTTACTCTATGAGGCGCTGAAAATCTGCCAATTTAATTACCTCAGTTTCCCTTTTCGTAAAGGGAAGATAAGATCCTCTTCCATGTCTCAACTCATTAATATTTCTAAATTGTTCTGAGATTATGGGATAGTTGGAACTATTTATAGGAATGCAAAAGACCATTTCTATTAGGTGCAAGTTGGCATGCAATTAAAATATACTGAGCATCACAATACGTAGCAAATGGGACATCTTGTTTTACATCAGCCGAGAAATGCTAAGTGGCTCTTTGCTTCCTAGTTGCTTATTTTGTACTTTTTGCCCTGAAAAACTCATTAAGGAAATGTACTGGGCCAGACTGTGATGTTTCACAAGAGTTGTAATCTCTCTCAAAGTTCCCAGCCCACAGGGAAAAGGACGTCCATGTGGGTAAATCAAACTGCTCTCCCCACAGCTCTATAAGATGCAAAGCTTTACAATTTTCTGTCAAAAGAGAGGGATGTGAACGACAGTTACAACCCTTCTGCACCTCTTAAAGGAGATTTCCATTCCGTGGGTATACATAAAGAACAGTCTCTGCTCTCAGCCCTTCCAGAGAAGAGGAACAGAAGATCCTTTGAATCTCATCTTTCCTCGCCTGCCTTCTACAGAGTGACCAGGGAGAACTTTTATTGGCTTATTCTCCTACAAGTGAATTTATTTTGATTCCTTCCAAAGGGTTGCATAGAGTCTGTCCTCATTTCTGTCTGGGAGAGCTTTGTGAAAGGCCATTTGGACAAGACTGCAGCAATAATTCATGCCATTTGCAGAAAATTTTTAAACCCTTACAGTGTCCCAGAATGATTCATTATTTTTCTAAGAATATGAAGCAGCGTGTGTGTTTGTGAATATGTACGCTCATGAAGAGTGAAGACAGCCAGCTCCCCTAGCCCCAGAGGCAGGAATAAAGACCAGCACAGATTTCTTCTTTGTCATGTAGGGCTTTTTGTGATACTTCACTTGTTTCATCCCTCCATATTTTAGGTTTTAAGTGAACTCGAAAAAGGTAGCAGCCGTATTTGTTTCCAGGTCTCCTACAACAGACTCCGGAAGACACAATCTAACATGTCCCAGAGGTATAATCCTATGTAAATAACTTATTCTAACAATGATCATTGGCCTTAGCTTCCACCACCCAGGAGAAGAGCAATTAAAGCCATTCCTCATCCTAGATTACAAGGCCTAAACTTAATCTCCGTTAAATTTTCAATACGATTAGGTTTATATCAGCTTTCAAACCAAACAGCACCTTGCTGGTAGTTTTTGGATGAACATACATTAACTCAAGTGAGTTCAGAACAAGTAATCTAGAAATCCTAGTATTTGGAATGATTTCCTAAAAATCTACCTCAAATATTCTCCATAAATACCCATCCAATACAAACTAATCCCAAAGGAAAGATTCATGGGAGCAAAAATCAGAACAATTGCTGGAACAAATGTTCAGGATTTGCTTGGGAGTGTAGTCCAAGACCTCTTTTGCAGCAGGATATATGAAATAAATCCATGTAGGCTTTCACTAGCTATACTAAGTCTGGAACTTTTTAGTGTTGAGAACCTCTTCCCTTTTCACATTATTTATGCCACTGCCGCAGGTGCTAAAAATTATCTGCTTCTTGCTGTTACATGTAGAGCTGGTGAGAAATGTTACTTCCCAGTTAAACAATTAGAAGACCATACCAATGTGTATTGTGGTGCATGAAAAAAAGCACAACAATCAAATCCTCTTAATGTTTTTCATCACTAAAATGATTTTCTGGTAACAGTAAAGTTGACTGGGCATTCTTTGGGAGCAACTGTCAGGGGGACCAATAGAGAAGAGACTGTTGGTTATAACAATTTTAAGAGGAAGTATGCATTCTTCACTAGGTAAGACATTTTCCTCTTCTTGCCTGCCCCATGATCATCCCTTTTGTTATTATACCTGCATACCAAATGGTACCTCCCTCAAAAGATTTTGTTGGTCTGATTTGTCTGGCTAAGAAAACGTCAGCTGAAAGAATAAATCTGGAGAGGCTGCAAGTTCAAACACTCACACAGAAGATTTAAAAAAATATCCTGTTCTGTGCTTGTAGAAACCAGTCTCCCCACAAGTTTAAGAGTCCAAATCCCACATGAAGAGAAGAGAAAGTAATATGACAGGTTAAAGAAATCCAAAACAAACATGAACATTAGCTTTGTTGTACGGTCCTGCAAAACACACTGGGTAAAGTTACTTTTTGGGTTGGTTTGGTTACAACATCTCTTGCCATACTGCAGTGACCCTTTTGATTTTCATTTCACCAGTATGCATCAGCATCTGTTGTCTCTCCATCTTACTGTTGACATCAGTATTAAGCTGCTCTAGCAAGGAGATGTGATTAGCATGTGTTTTTAACACAAGCTTCCACAGTGAAATAAAAAGGGACTTCATACAGATAATAATAATCCTGTACAGTCTAAACAAGCTTTGGGACTGCTGTGCAAAAACAGTATTGCAAGCTTTGTGTCTTATGGGATGGGAATGAGGCAGATTTCTTTAAAAAGGATAATTTATCCTACCTTGCTGGCTTTCAGTATTTCAAACATCAGAGGTAACCCTTGTGTGATGAGCTCCTCTGTGTACTCTTCTTCCTGAATGGACTTGAATTCCTTTAGCAAGCACTGGATGAGGGGTCGTCTGTGCTGCTGGAAGGACGTGCGCAAGGACTCCAGCCACGTGTGCAGCGTCCAAGGAACACCTAAGGACAGAGGACAGGGCTCATTCCCAGCTTCAAAGAAGAATTTGCCCGTCTGCTTTTTCACCTTTACTTACATTAAGATTTCAAGCAAAAGCTGCCAAATAACCCTAGAAATCAAATACCTATTTATCCCCAATTGAGAAGGCTGGTGGTTACCAGAACATCCCAGACCTAATGCACAGAGGCTTTCTTCCAAATGCTAAGAGAAGACTGTGGTCTCTCTGCTCATCTAGCCTTCAGCTTCTCTGCTGAGACTGCCAATTTGTGATAATTGCAGTGGTGCTCTGTGATGCAAAAGCCTTTTAGAAACTAGATTTACACTAGCTCATTTGTTTGAATATGGCCCTGGAGAGCAATTAAATGGTAAAAAACCCAATTTTGGTCACTACCCACCTGGATTAGAACTGGTGGTCTTCAGATTAAAACTTTCTTCAAGCACTACCCCATGTCCTCTCCTGATCATTACTATTTTCCCTAAACAGCACTGGGCGAATTAAGCAGCTCAGCTTTTTCAAGTATTTTGTCGTGGCAGAACCACTCTCCAGGAACTTAAAGGGCACTGCTTCCATGCACTGAGCAAGAAAGCACAAGGAGCTAATGTACCTCTGCAGGCATTAGGCTGGATGTGACCTACTTTCTGCTCTTGCAGAACAGAGTGGGAGGAAACGCAAGCCTGGCATTTGGCTACAAAGGATTTTTCCTTCCATTTCAGCAAATGTCCAGTGCCTGGAGAGCAGCCCTTTGCTCTCCTCTCATTCACTGCTGGGACTTCGCCTGCTCAGCCCACCCGGCGAGCCACCACTGAGACCACCGCATGCCTTGACCCACGCGACATGTCCCCAGGTCGCACCAGGCAGGAGGCATGCCAGGCACTCGGGTCTCTCTCTCTGAACACAGATCAATGGGGATGGGAAATAAACAGCCCAGAGAGATTCCACTCCACGCTACCCAACCACCCTCCTCACGGGCAGAAGTGACTTCCCAGCAGGCTGGTATAATGTGTGAGCCCCACATCAGCAGAGTTGGCACATCAGGAAACCAGTTCCCTGCTCCTGCTCTCAGAGGCTCACAAAACGCAGAAAAGACAGATGTTTTATTGATGGACTGCTTTACACAGAGTGCAGAAGAGGAGCTGCTGGAGGTGGCCTACAGAAGCCAAACTCTGTCCCAGAACCTTAGATAACACTCTGCTACACAGCAGTGAAGATGGCTGCTGGTGGAAACCACTCTGTCCTGCAGAAAAGCGCCAGTGGCCCCTGAACAGGGTGTGCCGTGGAGCCAAAATGGGCCAGGAACCTGCCAGATTCCCCATGCCTTCTGCTTTCCATGAGAGCTGAGGAAGGTGCAACTGTGGTCCGTTTAAGCAACAGCCCCTCAAAAGAGATGTGTTTCTTACAGCAGCCCCTCCCCGGAGGGAGAGGAGAGGGCGCCGGGACTGACCTATGCTCCGTATGTCGATGGTCACATCCACGTAGCCGTGCTCGGCGCTGTGGTACATGGCCTCCTTCAGGGCCTTCAGCTTGGCCTTGCTGTTGCGGCTGGCGCAGAGCGGAGCTGCCGCCGAGTCGGGCAAGTCCGTCCCCTCGGCCAGGATCTCCTCCAGCGACAGAATATCGCTCTTCTCCTTCTCCGGCTGAGCAAGCAGCTTACGGAAGACATTCCTGCCAACCACAGCACAACAGAGAGAGGGAGAGGGAAAGAGAGGGAGGGAGAGCAGAGAGTCAGTGGCTTGGCTTTCTTTGTGCCGGAGATACTTGCTGAAAAGTGGCAACTTAAGACACCTATCCAGGAAATTACTCCAATTAATGGCGGGACTGGCTGAGAGCAGTCCCAAAGGCAAGCACCGCATCTGCTAGCCCACCTGTACTGCCTGGGCCACGTCTGCAAGGCGTTGCTGTCGTGACAGGAACCGTAAAGATGTCGCATCAGTGGCGGCATCTCGTGGGAACAGAGACCCATGAGCTAAACGTGACTCAAGACTTCTTCCCACCATCAGAGAAGGCCGAGGTGCCTCTGGACAAGCTCTCAGGACTTTCACCACGGAGGCCACTTGAGAAGGGAGCTGCCTGGAGCTACCAAAAGCACCACCACTTGATTAACACTCAAAGCAGTCTGGGAAAGCTGGAGCAGCTAGACATTCAACGAGGACAGTCAGGGCAGGTTCGAGCACATCTGGGACTACTCTGCAAAGCCACTGATCTGGTTGGGCCACCAAACAGCAGAGCCCAAACTCAAGAGCCTTGGTGCCCTCAGGTTCGTACCAGCGTAACCTCATCGAGCTCTGAGTCGCTCTCAGTTTCAGAGCTGTATGAAGAGAAACCAGGCTGGTCCCCATCCCACCTCCCATGTACTCCAATGTCCTCCCTGCACCTGCTCAGACCCTGGTGTGGGTTGGCAGTGGGGCATGGCATGTCCCAAACAAATCTGCAGCAGAGAGGGAAGGAGGAGGGAGGGTGCGTGAGCGGTGTACAGGTAAGGAACATAAAAACTGGGGCCTGCAACATGCACAGCCAGCAGCCAAGCCGAGGAGAGCCCCAGGTCCTCCTCGGGCACACGGGTCCCACTCACGCCGGCTGGCAGCTAGGCCAGAGCAGTGGACAGGAGACTCGGATAACCAAACTGTCCTCTCTGTCCCAGAGATCCCTCGCAGGCTCCAGATGGGCAGCGCTGTGTGAACCCGCCCTGACATGCCGTTAGCATGTTGTTAGACTGGCAGCTTGTCTCTAAGCAAACAGACGGTAGGTACTGTCTCTAACCTGTATCTATGTTCCTCTGGATGGCTACAATCAGAAAAGTAGGAACGTGAAGATCAGAATACTAATCCATTACACTGCAGTCAACTCCTGAGCATTGCAAGGTCATGCATGTCAGGTGCTCATTACTTTTTTTTTTTTTTTTAAATTTGCAGCATACATACAACATTAAGGCACACAGGACTTTACAGTAAACATGGATGCAGAAACTCTGTTCAACAACAATTAAGGCTGCAGCAGTACAGACACAATCCACCCCAAACCTAAGAACTACGTCAACAAGAAATTCAGAAGGAATGTCTTTGGCATTCCTTTCTGCTGTCACATCAGCTACCATTTAACAAACATCACATTGCAACACACCACGAGGAGTCCTCTTTCTTTTTTTTTAAATCAGCTATCAAAAAGCAGCTTGTACCACCAACTGGTTAAATTCACATGCTAGCAAAAAGCCTTATATCTCTGCTCAGTTGGTGGCATGTTCAATTGTTCATGCAGAACCTTCACCCATCTGCTCAAAATGGACGCCCAGGCAAAAATAAGCACTTGAAGGATGCCACTAGACTTGTTCCCACTCTACCTGTGTCCATGTGCAGCAGCCTGACTGAAAGAGTTCATGTCACCTTGTGGAGTCATGGAAATGCCGTTCCTGTACATTGTTCCTATCATGGGGTCAGCTCCTCGCTCCAACAGCAAACTGACCAGTTCAAAATTCCCTGCAAGTCAAGAGACGCATTTTTACTTCTTTCAGAATCCCGTATTTTCTCACCTAAACCACAGATCCCAACTGAAGAATTTATTACAGTGGGAGGAGACAGTCCTTACCAGCAGCTGCTGCCAACTGTAAAGGAGTTTCAGAGTAATTTTCCTCTCCATGCTCCAAGGAACCTTCTACCTTTGCTCCTGCATCCAGCAACAGCTAGAAAGAAAATTCACCATTTAGAGCAACTGGGGGTATTAGCAGTCTGCAGCATTCATGAACAGTGACAAATGAAAGTCTAATGCTTCTTGTTAGCTGCAAACCAGAGACGATGGAGACAAGTGACATGCAAATTCTGCCCATTTTTTCACAGAGGCAAATTGATTCCTTTTTTCGCTCATTTTACACTGCCAGACACCAGGAGCACTAGTGTCCAACTTCAGAGCCAAAAAAGTGTAACCCAGTGTTTCTGAATGGGAAATGGGGTAAGATCAGTGTTAGGAAGTAATGTGCTGAAGATGGAAGTACAGAAAATTAGCCCGCAAGCATCCTTCCTTCATGGCCTTCTACTACTCCAGCACCGTCCTAAAATTGATTGGATTTCAATTGCTTCCATCTTCTACATGAAGACATGGCCAAAAGAAAGGCAATTCTTAAGAACCAGTCACAGTCCAAAAGCTGTGATCTCCATCAGGGACAATTCCATGTAAATAACAACGCTGAAAACAAAAATGGCCAAGGAAAGCAAGATGAAGCCTGCGCTCCAGCCCCCTCTTGGCCATTTCTGTCTCGAGGCCTTCACAGTTTTGGCGCTTCAGTAAGTGTGCCATGGACACAGCTGTTTTGAAGAATAAACCTTCTTGACTTTTGAGATGCCAAAGCACAGAACCAGCATATTCCACGCGACACCTCGCTGGTGTAAGGAGAGCGAGTGCTTCTCCCCCTTTGGAGCAGCACAAGGGCTGTTGTCCACCTCTCCCCCACCAAGGTAGCAGTTTTGTGTTTGCTTGAATATCACAGTGTCAGAAAGTGTAATGAATGAATAAACAAACATACAAAACAAGTGGTCAGGAAGGAGCACAAGGAGTTGTCAGACTTTCTTTGGTGCAACTTTGCTTTAAAATTGTTGTATTTAAACCTCATATTGGTTAAGCTTTGAACACCATATTCGCTATATAATAGGTCTATTATATATCAGTACACTCTAGAAGGAGCAGAAGTAACCAATATGAGTATGACAAGAGGATACTGGTTTGAGATGGATGTAATTAGAACTGAAGAGGAGAAACAAAAGAATGAGATGCAGGTAGGGAAATACAATAATACCTGAACTACAGGAATATGTCCATGCAACACAGCAAATGTCAGAGCTGTCCAATGGCGGGTCTCAGGGTGGACGGATGGGTATTTATGAGCAGTACTGACAACCTACAAACAAATTAAAGTTATTTTTTTAAAGAGCTATACGTAATAAAATTCAACCTGCCCGAAAGCCAGGCATGTGGGGGAGTAAGTGAAATAGAAAACCTGGGAAAGGTGCTTTATAAAATGATTGGCTTCATTTTTTTTTTCCTGCAAAAATTTTCTCAATATTAAAACTGTTTGTGCTGATTTGACAGCTTGAATAGAATTCATACCAAATGAAGTCTTTTTACCAACTACTGTAGCTCCATCTAAACCACTGTCCACCAGATACTTTTGCACAAGGTCAAAACATCCACAGCTGGTTACAGCAGCACACACTGGGGAAGCAGGGACGGATCAGGACACTTACAGCTAAGGACCACTCCCACTGACTTCTCCAGACTGCGTATCAACAGCCCCAGGTCTTGGGATTGCTCCAGGCCCAAAGAAATTCTTTCCACATAAATCAGTATGACTTTTGTCACTGCCATCATGAAAGACACATCACAAGCCCTGCCCTAGAGTTCACAGGCGTGCTTCCAGGCTCCTCCTTTCCCACCGGAGGAAAAAATGACAGGGCAGAGTGGCACTTCAGAAACATTTTAAGAAAACTCCTTTTTTTCTGCCTTCTCCTGTCTGAGTTGAGTTAAAAGAGCAGAGTGGTGACAGTTAAAAGAGATGCAAACTCTATCCTTAGAAAACAAAATGGTATTTTTCACATGGCTCCTTCCATTTTCTACGCCTTAGTGCCTTATGTCTCTAATGTAGACATCGGGGAAGATGAATAACCACTCTTTGCTTCAGTTTCCCTGCCTTAAAGATGGAGGTATTAATATTGATGAGGCTCAGAGAGATGGTAAAATCTAATGAACGTTTGCAATCCGATACTGCACACTCAGATGGAGTGTGACACTAAAATTCAAAATCTTGTTATTGATCTTCAGAGGAGGACTAAAAGATGCACCATCTCTGTCTCATCAGCCAGCTATGCTTTCTCTACCTTGTCTGAAGCACTTTTATCCATGTAGGGGAGCAGGGGCAGTTATTAAATGCTCAGTTGCATTAGCAGCTCACATTTCCAAGCACCACATGCAGTGTTTCGCTAGAAGCACATGGCCAGGCCCTCAGTCCCAAGGACAAGGATGAGGGCAAAATCTGAAGAGCCTGTGCAGATCCTGCAGCTTGCCAGAGGAGCGGATCTGCACCAGCACCTGGCTGTTATTAATCAGATTTGCCAAAAAAGAGAGTTCAAAGTGCCAACAGGAGAAGTGTGCCGGTGTCTGAGCACAGGCATGGGGCTTCTATGGGTCTGGGATTGCTCAGAAGGAAGAGGATTGAGCAGCTTGAGCCTTGGGGTTTAGGCTGGGGAGCGGAGGGTGAGGATGGGCAGGGTAACAGTTTAGTGAACTCATCGCATCCAGCTCCTCCTCAAGCACAGATTCCCAGCTCATGGCAAAGAAAATGAAGTCGTTTTAACTCCTTTGCTCCTCTTTTTTTTTTTTTTTTTTTTTAAAAGACTTAACTGACCCAGCAGTCTAATTTGTTTTTAATTCACACGTGAATGGCCTATGAAAAAAATCACATCTAGTATGAAGAAAAAAAATAAACAAATCAGTAATATTTGGAGAAAAAAAAAAAAAATCCCACACCCAGAAGTGTTGCCCAAAAGGGCTGGCATGACTGAAAAGCACTTTACCAGCACAGAGACCTGCTC